TTGGGGACAGGAATGTCATCCAATGCCAGACCCAATTCAGCCAATTGTGTCCAGATACAAAGGCCAAAGGGAGAAATTTCAGACTATCTGTTCTGAAAGAGCATGGCCCACCAAGGAAGAAAGACACAACCCCAGGTTTGATGCTGTGGTAAGGATCGAAGCTTGGTAGCATATTGTAGAGAAAGTTGCAAATGATGGAGGCGAAGAGGAGGTTCGTGGGAGTCAGCAGAGCGACGTGCAGCCAGACTCGAGGATGCACGGTTGCAAGCACGGCGATCGCGTTCTGCAGCTTCAGATCTGCTTCGTTCTCAAAAGAATGAACGCAACAGGCTGAGAGTGGCTGAAAGACATCAACGAGAAACAGCAGATCAGCGTCAAACACGACTCCGTGCTCAGCAATCACGCAATTACAATCGCCTTGCATTCCGGTACACCCCAGCTGATGATTATAGTTTGAGCAGTCATGTTCTCATCAACACTATGATTGAAGTGTGTCTTTATTGCAAGGCTCTGAAATTTAATGGAGAAACGAAAGGCCAGAGCCATTAAAAACTTTGCTTGCCGGATATACCGCCGAATCAAAGCATTTCCTATCTAACATTAGGAAATATAACTCATGCTTCCAAATGACGTCGTTCGGCGCAGAAATCATAAGAGCTCAATTCATGCCAACTTTCAAAGTGAAAAGACAAATTTATCATAAAGTCGGCTCCCTGCTTCCATTCCCAGATGGTCAACATAAATTCCTTCAAATGTATTTCATCGGTGATGGCAATGACGAATTGAATGCACGCTGCCGGCATAAAAAGGTCCATCATTTCCCAACTGCAAGAGCTTTTTCACAAAAAAAAAACAATTTAGTGCATTTGTTCAAAACAGCAATTGACATGATGCCATCTGATACACACAAGATTGTTATTCATGCTGATAAAACGCCTGCTGGAGAACATGTGCGAAGATTCAATGCTCCAACTATAGATGAAGTGGCAATTGTTATAGTCGGAGATCAGTTCCAACCTAGAGATATTGTTCTTCATCGGAGAAACGATCAATTGACAAAAGTTGCAGAAACTCATCGATGCTACGATGCCCTGCAATATCCAATCATTTTTTGGGATGGTGCCAATGGATATCACTTCAACATTAAGATGATAAATTCAGTCAATGGCAAAGAAACAAATATGAAATGCAGGGCAATGAACTATTATTCATACCGATTAATGATTCGAGAGAATGAAGACAATCACATTTTGAAATGTTGTCAATTGTTTCACAAATATATCTTAGATATGTATGCAAAAATCGAAACAGAACATTTGATATTCATTCGTTTGAATCAGACCAAGCTTCGCTCTGAAGAATACGTTCATTTGCGAGATGCAGTTGTAAATGACGGTAATACAACTAACGTTGGAAGACTAACAATTTTGCCATCTTCATATACAGGCAGTCCTCGTCATATGCATGAGTACGCTCAAGATGCACTTGCGTATGTTCGCCACTACGGGCGTCCAGACCTATTCATTACATTCACATGCAATCCAGCTTGGGACAATATACAACAGCTCTTACTTCCTGGGCAATCGCCAGTGGATAGGCATGACATCACAGCACGTGTTTTCAGACAGAAGCTGAAATCGCTGATGGATTTCATGGTAAAACAAGAAGTATTTGGGTCTGTGCGCTGCTGGATGTGCTCGGTGGAATGGCAAAAGAGAGGATTGCCACACGCACATATACTAATCTGGCTCTATAACAAAATCACTTCAACTGAAATCGACGATATAACATGCGCTGAAATACCCGATGCCGACGTCGATAAGGATTTGCATGAAGTTGTGACGAAAAATATGATACATGGACCTTGCAGTACACTGAATCCAAATTCACCATGCATGATAGATGGAAAATGCTCTAAGCGATATCCTCGAGCATTAGTATCCAACACAGATACAGGAAACAATGGATATCCTTTATACAGAAGAAGATCAGCAGAAGATGGCGGTAAATTAGCAACCATACAAATGCGAAACGGTGACATCGAGGTAGATAACCGGTGGGTTGTACCATATTCGCCTTTGCTATCAAAAACATACAAAGCGCACATAAACGTGGAATAATGTAACTCTGTTAAATCGATCAAATACATTTGTAAGTACGTGAATAAAGGCAGCGACATGGCAGTTTTTGGCATGCAAC